CTGGTCATTATAAACAGGGTCAGTTCCTCCGTTTGTCCTGCCCACCATGCAGTGCCTAGAGGGAAGCAGAGCCCTGTAAATATCGGGAGGCGCCCGCCCTCTCCCCCTCGGGGCCACATAGAGCTATGGGGAGGAGCCTGGAGCTAGTCAGGGCTCTGGCCCACGAGGGCACAGGCTGGCTACCTCCTGCCCACCCCATCTTGACCCAGAGTCGCACCTGCCTCAGGAGGTGTGTAGGGAGCTGGTCCCAGGGATAGCCCAGTTTCTCAGAGGGCTGTGGGCACTGACCGATTCGTGCCTCCCTTCCTCCACTCCCCCCCAACCCCCGGTTATCAGTGGGCTGAGGTCCGAAAGTGGCCAAGTGAGAGAGAGATCAAGGTGAGGAACAGGGCTGGGGGGTCACGGGGTCACACTGGGAGAGCCACCTAGAAGAGGGAGGAGGGGAGAACGTAGGGTGTGGGGTGTGGACAAGCCTAGAACTAAGACTGAGGACTGAAACAGGGTGTCTGGTGGGGAGGTGGGGTGGAGGTCTGGGAGGGGGTTGGGCATGTCCAGGAGACTGGGATGGAAATGAGGCCTGGAGGAGTCCGGACTTGGCCGCCCCACACAAAGGTAGGGGTGGGGGCAGAAGCAAAGGAGACCCCTCTTGGCCAGTGTTATCCTGCCCCAGGTCTGGACACCACGGTGCCAAGCAGGCCAGGAAATGGGGCCAGCTGTAGCTGCCTGGCCCAGCTTGGCTCTGGTCACCTGCTGGCCAGGAGACCCAGACCAGTCTAGACAGGCTAGTTGCTGTGCCCGTGCCCACCTCCCACAAGCCTGTGCCGCCAAACTGGTTCCTCTGGCTGTGCCCATCCACGTCCCGCCGGGTGAAGTGCCGGCTCCCGCCGCCCATGCAGCTCTGAGCAGCGCCGTTCCAGGAATCAGACGAACCCCTGCCCAGCCTGCAGCCACCTCTTCTGAGTCCTCACTCCACGGCTACTCTTCTGGGAACCTCCCTTGTTCCCCACCCCTGCCACCCCTGTGGGCCTTTCCTCTGGGGACAGGTCTGCCCCTCCCTCTCATGGCATGAGGCCCCCCATGAGGGCACTGCTGTGTACCCAGCATCACTCGGCCCAGGGCCGGGCAGCGAGGAGACCTGGTCAGTCACCATGCGCTGACCGAGGGAAGGACAGAAGGAGTGAACTAAGATTTCCTGCCTCATTTCCCAGATGAGTAAGCCGAAGCCCGGAGAGGAGCCCTCACCTGCCCGTGGGCACTGTTAGCCGCTCCAGCACCAGACCAGATCCGCGTGAGTGACCCCAAGGCCACGTGGGGCCAGCTGGCTGGGCCCTTCCTCCCCAGAGACCACGAGGAGAAGGAATCCCGAGACCTGCCACTCCCTGTGTGCCCGACCCAGGCCTGCTCCTGGTAGCCCCCACCACCACCCCTGTAGACTCACGAGGTGTGAGCCAGCTTGGTCCCATTTGACTGATGGGTAGAGGGAGGCCCAGAGCCACCAAGCCACGTAGTGGCAGCTGATCACACACAGTCACTGGCAGAGGGCTCAGTCCTCTGGTCAGATGGGTCCCCTGCTACCACGTCCCCGTGGTAGACCTTGTGACGCGTATCCCTGTGGCCCCTCTGCCGCCTACGCTGGCTTCAGCTGAGCGTTTGCTCTGGGCCTGGCATCTGTGGGGGGCGTGGGGTGGGACTGCAGACAACACTCAGATTCACGGGGAGCACCAGCACCCTTGTAGAGTGCTGGGGCAGCGAGGCCTGTGGAGCTGATCTGCACGGCAGGAGCCACACAGACGAGGCCAGAGGTCGCTGGAAGGTTGGCGGCTCCAGTCCACCTAGAGGCATTCCGGAAGAAAGGCACCCCGGCCCCGCAAGGGATCACCATGAGTGTGTCTGTCTTGGGGCGGTGGCATGAGGAACTGAGCTGCCTGGGCCGTGAGGTCGAGACGGGGCCGAGAGGGTGGACTCTGGTTTCCACCCAGTAGGTGGCGCCACCAATGGTTTCAAGTGAGACTGGGGCCTGGCCGGGGAGATGGAGGTGGGGGGGGGG